GAAGGTGATTCGATTGACTTCAACTAAGGTTGAGTGTCCAGCTTCAGAACAACGCCGTAAGCAAAAGCCAGCCTAACCACTTATCCGCCAGGCAGCCATGCAATACCCACGTAGTGAGATCCCACAATGGAACGCCACAAAATAGGGTTTACAATGAAGGTGTACAAAGATAGAAAACGACAGCATATAGAATGCCAACAGATTTGAAGGAAAAATCTACCCGTGCAAATATGTCAAAGAGAAGGGGAAGTGAATGAACTGAAAAAGCTGTTAAAATCAAAAAGCTATAGTCGGTCGGTGGTACGTGTCACGATGCTTTAGTGCCAACTAGTAAAACTACGGTGCGTTGTCACGCGTTGGACAGAAACTGGCCTGCTCTGTCTCCATCTGAGACTACCGTAACTTTGTCTTTTCCGGCATTCCGCTGGCATCCGGTGGCTAAAGCTGACGGTAAGGCTCTCCTCCAGTATGATGAGCCATATGGCTGTTTGAACGGATGTTTTGCAGTATCAACTTCCCTAAATAGCGCGGATACGAGAAAATCCGAACAGCGCGAAGAGGATTTCAGCTGTGGTCGCAGCCTCCGATGGAGCCTCTGGACTAATGCGCAATGCACAAGTTTATCATTAAGAAATAGAGGATACGGAAACCAACTGAACTGCTCCGAAGAAATGCTCTTTCCGAAGATCCAGACGGTGTTCCTTGTTGAGTTAGTGCACCAGTGCCGTTCCCTGGTTGTTTCGGTAACGCATAAGTTGTTGGGACCAAAGATGAACCAGCTCTCCTGAAACTGTTCGGTTGTCGATGCAGTTTGTGGATGAAAGTTACTGATAGATTTGTAGTCCCAACTCCCCCCATAATTGACAATAGACCATTGGACAGCGGAGTTAAGCGCGCTTGATCGGATATAATGAACAAAACATACTGCAAATGACAACCACCAACGACTGCTGAATCAGTAAACTTTATTGGGCAGGACGAACCGCAGGGAAAGGCGTGAACCAGTATTGTCATTTAACAAGAAACAGTGAAGCGGCCCAGATTAGCTGGGTAGACTGGGAATCCGTAGTCTACTTGTTCAGTCGTCGGCCTTACCAAACTTACGTCCAGGATCTTAGTCGCTGCTATTGCACAAGTATGGGCGTACCTGTAGCATCCCAGCTTAGGTTTGACTGCTCATGGCCTTACGACAGCGAAGCATCGATATGTAGTTCTGGTGTATTACTGATGTCTGATGCACAGATAAACCAGAGAGCACACTGACAAAAGGAGATTAATAAGGAGGAAAGGATGCAAAAAATGAGCACCAAATGCAAGTGAATGTTAGTGAAGCGTAAACAAATTCGCTGAACATACCCAGCGCAGCCTCCGAGGACGAATTTCATGTAGTTAGGGATATTGCTCTGTTTTGCATCCCCCATCTTACAACGGCTGCGATCCGATTAGTGGGTAAGTAACATCGACCAATCTGTTAATCAAAGAAAGAGGAAAAACAAGACATGTAATGGAGCCACACTTCTAAAGCATAGCGAATTCGAGTGACGAGGAGAGGATTACAACGGTAGAGTAAATCGTTTTACATTAACTCAAAGTAGGTTTTAGCTGCCATCCGATATACATTACACCTCTGAATAATGTGTTGTTTTAGAGGTACTTCCGGACATCCCGGTGGGTTTATTGAGTATTGCGTTTTTTGAACGATCTCAAGTATTAACGATGGCTCGAGTAGATATAAAAGCAGGGGTAAAAGCTACCTTTTTGAGCGCCCGAGCACCGTCCGAAATCTACTTTATCTTAACATTTTCGGACGTACGTCAGACGGTCATCATGGGCAAGTTGGGGGGAAATTGATTATACGGACTGTCGTGCATTGTTTTACTCCGATAAATAACTAGCGGAAGCTGATCGTGGCAGTAAACTTATGGCAGCGACAATCAAGATGTTTTAGCAAGAATGCTATATATCTTGCACACAACATCAAAGAACAATGCTCACGTGTTTGTGGGGATCTGTGGGTCAATTGACGGGAAAAAATCCAAGGACGAAACAGGCGTTCGCCTAAAGAGGGTTCCGTTTGCTGTGCCAGTAAGGGAAACAGATACCCCAGCACTTCGAATTCATGGTTGGTTGTTGCGTCTATAATGGAAAGAGATTTCAAATTCAAATGGGACAGAGACAAAAGGAAATTTCCTTGGTCGTTCCATTCTGTATGCGTCGTTGATCTAGGTTAGAATGTGGTGGCAAGAATAGCCAGTTGTGGGAGCCCAAAAAGCACGCACAAATTACGACCAACCAATCAAAAGCCATGTGCGCTGCGCTAGCAACCTGTGGTTCCGATTCTCAAGACCCACTCTACCGCCATCCTGTCACGAGTCAGGCAAGGAGGACAAGCCTAGAGACAATACTCCAGGTGCGGTTTAACAAAGGCCGTAAAGAACTTAATAAACATATTCCGTTAGGATCGTAAATGATCCAGATGGTTCAGAAAGCCCTGCAAGACGCTTTCTTCCAGTCCTGAGACAAAGTGATCCCTAAAGCAATTTGTTGGGATACGTGGAATTTTATTATCATCAAGCATATAGGACGTTGTCGGACCATTTGATCCTATGAGCAAAACTGAAAACTTGCTGTAGTTTATTGGCATCTGCCACAGAACGGATCAATCACGGAGTGTTAAGAGCCTGTTGAAGAAGTTGGGAAGCGCAAGAGAAGGCAACAACTACACTTTCATGGGTTTGCAGCCATGAACTATGACGGAAATTTGGAGAACATGGACAGACTAGACATCATATCAATTCCTTAGTTTTACGCTACAATAATGCAGAGGGAAATTTGTCCCAGCTAGAGGCGACCCGAGCTGCGAAGAACGTGGATCTCATGTTCAAGTTCGGGTGGGACTGGAATGATAGCAGAATCCCATGTCCCATCTTGAGTGGATCGTGGAGCCAAGAATTGATGAAGTGCTCAGTTATTGATGGATCTAAAACGGAACGCCGGTATCGCACCCTGGCCAACCAATGAATGCCCACGTTTTCTGCCCTAGCAGTCCCTGCTGTGGCAGTCACGTGAAGTAAGCAAGGGATAGGAGGAGAAACCGAAGGTACAGAATAAGGAAGTTCACTTGAAATAAAAGGATTATGCTATTGCGTGAAGAAAGGTAGAAAAAATCGAAGTATGAAGATGCGAGTTAACCAGGAAGAGGTCACATGATGTCACCTAAGAGCATCAAGTTGGCGCTCAAACAACTTAACTGTAGATTCGGTGACAACAACTTCCGGAAGCACGTTCCAGCGCCCGATGACCCGGCGTGACTGCCGGATTTTCGCCCTAATCCTTTACTTTACTTTACTGTCATGATAGCGAGAAAGATGTTGAACATCTATGTAGCTATATCTCAATGTAGGACATGTCCCACTGACACAGTGTTACCTGTAGTAGTGAGCTAGCCCAGGTGAAAAAAGTAAAATATTTACGAGCATAAAAAATCTCCATGTACTTACGATATATTCTTGGATGAACCACATGGAGTCCTTCACCAGCTCCGCCGCCTATTACGGATGGGCATCGTTTCGGAAGCTGCAGTTGGTGGATTACGGGCTCCATGGGTTATAATCATTGAACGATTTCTTCGTCAGTTTCCTGTGAAGGCTTCGTCGAATCTGGCATCCGCAAAGTGCGCGTCCAGGAATCGTTTGAATTCCGACACCGAGTTCGCTTCCACTATCCGCCAGGGCAAACGGTTCCACATGTTCACCACTCGCCGCTCAAGACACAAGGGATGAGCTACCCACTTGAGGTCAGGGACTACCAGTTTGTACTGGTGACCTCGTGTGCTGTTTGACGCACGGACATGGAGCAGTGGCCTCAGCATCGGATAAGCACCCAGATGCAATACCCGATGGGTCATGATGAGGTCCACTCGCACGCGGCGGTAGGCTAAAGTATACAGACCCAATTGTCTGCATCTTTCTTCATACGGCACACTCTGAAGACCGGGAATAAACCGTGTGGCTATGTGTTGTACTCTTTCGAGCTTGTGTATCTCGCCTTTCGTCAACGGACAGTAGGCGGGTGAGCCGTATTCTAGCACCGGTCGTACAATGGATGTGAAGAGACGAGTGGCAATCTCTTTCGACCAGGTGCAGAAGCTACGTTGCAGCGCCCACAGCGAACGCAATGCTGTGCGATACGTATTGTCCGTGTTGTCCAGTGACTTCATGTCGTAACGTTGTATAACGCCAAGGTCTCTGACGCAATGCGTCGGGTGTAGAACTTGGCCATCGAGAGTGTACGATCGGCCCGCTCCACCTTTACCAAAGCACAGAAGTAGCGATTTTGCTGAGTTGATAGGCAAACTTACTTCGGCGGACCACATGGAGAGGCGGTCGAGATCCTTCTGAAGTATGTCAAAGTCGTCCGACGTATGGATCACCCTCCATAGCTTCAGGTCATCCGCGAACAAGGCACACGGCGACCGAAGGAGATTGGGCACGTCGTTGATGTGAATCAGGAAGAGAATGGGGCCAAGCACCGTCCCCTGAGGAACGCCGCTCGTCGACGGGTACCAGTCGGTCAGGTGGCTGTCGACTTGCACCCTCCACTTCCGTCCAACTAAGAAGTCACGGATCCATTGGTGCAGCGAGCCTCCGACTCCGCACTCCCTCAGTTTCTGAAGGAGGGTCTCGTGATTCACTCTGTCGAAGGCCTTACTGAAATCGACGTATACCACGTCGACTGACTTACGTTGGTTTACTGCTTGCAACCATTCATGCCATGTTAGCAGCAGGTTAGTGATGCACGAGCGGCCTCTCACGAAACCATGCTGTGCAGGCGTCAGGAGAGAGTTGGTCTCCACTAGCTGGAGCAGTCTCTTCTTCACAATCTTCTCCAGAACGTTCGACAATACTGCGGTCAAACAAATAGGGCCGTAGTTCTCCACTTTGCGTGTGTCACCGCCTTTTGGAATCGGTTTGACAACGGCGCATTTCCAGTCACAAGGCACGCAGCCTATGGACAGGGATCGGTTGAACAGGTCGGTTACAGCAGGTGAGATCACAGCTGACAAGGACTTGAGGATCAGCGGATGGAGACCATCCGGTCCAGCTGCCTTCGTGCTGTCTAGGCAGCTGACTAGCCCATGTACCTCCGCGACGTCGCAGATCAAGTCGGTTAGCTCAGTCGGTGCGGCGACGGCAGAGCTTGGCGCGCAGGTTTGGTTAGTTGCGAATACAGAAGCGAAGTGCGCCGCTAATGCGGACGCACGCTCGGTGTTTGAATTTAGTGGTTGTCCGTTCGAACCCACTAGCACCGGCACATTACCTGCAGACTTCAGGCGTCGCTTCACGTACGCAAATATGCGCTTCGGGGCAGTTTTAGCTGAACAAGCAAGCTGCTCCTCAAACTGACGGCGTTTTCGCGTCTTTGTGCTATTGCACAAGTTTCTTGTCGCTTGTATGCCTCATAGTCATCGGCAGAGCCAGACAGGAGGGACGCATTCCATAGTCGACGCCGTTGTCGAGACAGGCGGTTATACTCTTTGTCAAACCAATGGGGTTTCATTGGTCCAACTTTCCGAGTCTTGAGGGGTACAAATTGCGCACACAATGAGTGCACTGCCCCTTTAATGTTTGCCCAGAAAGTTTCAACGGATGAATCCTGTGGCATAGACCAATCAAGCTGATTGGCAGCTAGAATGAGGCCATCGAAGTCAGCTTTCCAATAGTTGTATGTTGGCGCCACTGGACGCACACATGGAAGCTGCAGGTCTATAGTGGCCATAATTGTCGAGTGATCACTGGCCGCCATGGGCTCAAGAACTTCTATGTCATGCACTGTTTGTTCGCAGCTGGTTAGCAGCAGGTCCAGGCATGATGGCATTGAGCGCGGGGTTATGCGGGTGGGTTGCGTGATGTGCTGCACCGTTCCGGTTTCCAGTACCAGTTCGGCGAACCGTGGTTTGTCCAGTTTAAAGGAATGACGGGTGAAACACAATCTAGCGGGACTGAATAGCGAAGATAATTCTGGACCAACATTCCCAGTTAAAACACGGTAGATTAGGATTAGGTCTCCTCCAAGCCTTTGGTAGTGCACTGAATGGATTCCCAAACCAAGTAAACGCTCGGAGTGCTTCCGTCCCCGTGATGCCTCGACTTAAACACCCATAAAACCCTCTCTACCTCCATTTTGTCCCGGACGAGGCAGGGAGGACAAGAATGGACGTTGTATTCCAGATGAGGCCGAACGAAAGTCTTGATAGCTGCACTTTTAATTAGAGAAAATAACACATCAAAAAATTGTTAAGAGATAAGTGGAACCTAAATTTTCACCCCTAAAGATTGCATTGACAGCACGCACCAAGAAACACCATACACGGACTAATCGCGTTCGCCCGAGGGCGTGACATGGCTCGGGCGCACGGAATTCACATGTTTGCGGCTGACGTTCCACGGTACATATACAGATTCTGATGGGACTGTAATGAGAGGAAGGTCCGTTGAGTGTTCCTTCTTGAGCAGATCATTGAGCCAAAAAGTGAGATGGTGCTATGATTTCTTGATGGATCTAAAACAAAACACTCGAACCACACACGAACCACACCGGGGACAATCAATTACTGCCCACGTTCCCTGCACTAGCAGTCCACGGTGTGTAAGTCACGTGAGGTAAGGAAGACGTAGAAATGGAAAGGAACGATAAAGAAAAAAGGAAATTCATTTAACAAAGATGGCACGCGAGTGAGCATAATGACAAAATATGAACTCAAATTTGGATGATGGATATGGGCAGGAGAAGGGTAAGGTTTCGTGTTGCCACCAAGGAGTTCGTAATGTATCAGAAACCACGCTCGTTAAGTATTCTGGAACGGAGTTTACAGGTTTTTTTACCTGCCAATCGTTCACTTGTTTTACCGACGGCACTGCCGTTGGCACAAATTGTTCGGGGAGTACCTTGCTGTACCGAATCTCGTCCTGGTAGCGTCGCCTTCTATTTTCCTAGTCTGCACAAAACACGTCGGTTGCAGTCGCCTCCAAGTTCTAGACCGTTCCGTATTGGACACAGCCCTCAATTGTCAGAGATTTCCCACTAGTATCCCTGGCGCCACCCAACAATTGGTGATCTCAGTCCAGAACAAGCCTTACGTCAGTTTGCGGTTACTTTCCGATGCGGTGGTTCTAATGACATTTTTGATATTTGACAATGCCACGAACCTTAGTATGCGTGACGGCACCGCCGCTGGTGCATCCAGCACTCAGTTCAACGCCTTCCCCAGACCGCGCCAGATTACGCCAACCGCTTTTCCGAGTATTCCAAGCTCTCTCAGCCAATGGACGCATCGTTGCTCGCGGCATACCAAGTCACGCACCCCATACGGACGAATGGTCCACCCGTCTCTAGGCGTCCACGCAGAGTAGCACCTGAGAAATTAATGTAGCTTGGGCGGAAATTGGGCACATGCACGGACTTGAATACTCCAACCTTCCGACAACCCTTGGTCCTTACCATGCAGACGGTCCCCAAACAACCAGATGACTAGTGCCCTTGAGGTGTGTTGGGCGGAGCCTGGTTTACTAGTCGGTAAGCAATGACACGTAAGACGTGTCAAATACGACAGGATAGAAATCAGAAGCGACTGAACCCAACGTATATTGTAAGGCTACAAGGATAGGAAGCGAATCAGACAGAGCGAGAAACGTGCAGCGAGGAACTCACCAAAACGGTTTGTGACAACGGATGTGCAGTCAGTTAAACAAATGGACGTTTCGAAGCTTAAAACAACCATAAAATTCAATGTTACAAGATACTGAAAGAGCATGTTTTCTGTTGCACTACAAGTGACTAGCGCGCACTCAACCTGCTGACCGTCCCGGTTGGTCATCCCATTCAACATATGTAGGACCTCATTGCATGCCTCACAGGTAAGATGATCTTCAGCAATATCGAGCTGCTTTGTGACTAGCATCATATACCTGTAGACGAAAATGACATTCCTAAAACGGCAGCTCTCAGTCCTTTCGGCTGGTTTGAATATTTAGGTAGACCATCTAAACTGTGCAACGCCGTAGGAAACTTCCAACGTTTCATCCACAATGTCACACGTGATTTAGAATCGCTTATTCCTGCCTCGCTGAGATTTCAGTAGCTCGCTACCTTCAAAGTGTTGAATAGCACGGAACGAACACGTAGGCTGGTAGATGCATGCATTCCGTGTTGTCTCCTCAGTACCACAAACAATAACCGATATGCGTAGGTACAACCAACAGTGGGGAAAACCAGAGTAGCTTGAGTTACAAATCGAATGACGGAATTTCACATCTATATCCCAGGCTGCTTTAGACTGACAAGTACTTGTTGTTGAACACACAAGGTTGTCTTTATCCAGCTTCTAGAGAGAGCCTCAGTAAACGGAAGGCAGCGGGGGTTGGTGTGACATAGCATAAATTTAAACGCTGAGCCCAGCTCTATCCGGCGACCCGGGTTGCCAGCATAAAGCCGCTTTAAAAGAAGGTATAAACTTCCATCATTCGTTCTGCAACTCCAGCTTGTCTGGTTGCTTTCAGTGTCAGCTGTATCTATGCATATCGGTTATTGGTAATGGTAAAGTGGTGACAATGCGAAATGCTTGCATCTACCAGCCTTAGTCTTCTCTGCCTGCTTTACAATTTTTTGAAGGGAACTAACTGCGTTAAGTTTTGCAACGAAGAATTCCCACTGAACTGCTGCATCGCATTGACAGCCTAAACTGCAGTATGGCGTGTTTACTTGTAGAGATATCATTTTTATCGAACTGCGTTTTCGTGCTTCTCTTTCCGCGTCCAGTTCACTTACGGTTGCGTAGAAACAAACGGAAGCCCTCTGTGGCTAAACTCAGACGGGTGACGTTTGAGTACCTATAAATGCCTCAAACCAGACTTGCGGACCTACTATAAACTCATCTGCCTGGTACGCTGTCGCCCAGTCGGCCCTACAAAAAGCGCT